CCGGGTTCCCAGACCACCTATTACCCGACCCCATCCAGGTTCCCTAACCCCCTATTACCCAACCCTCTCCGGGTTCCCAGACCACCTATTACCCGACCCCATCCAGGTTCCCTGACCACCCATTAACCGACCCTATCCGGGTTCCCTGACCACCTATTAACCGACCCTACCCGGGTTCCCTGACCACCTATTACCAAACCCTATCCGGGTTCCCAGACCACCTATTACCGACCCCATCCAGGTTCCCTGACCACCTATTAACCGACCCTATCCGGGTTCCCTGACCACCTATTACCCAACCCTATCCGGGTTCCCAGACCACCTATTACCCGACCCCATCCAGGTTCCCTGACCACCTATTACCCAACCCCATCCAGGTTCCCTGACCACCTATTACCCGACCCCATCCGGGTTCCCTGACCACCTATTACCCAACCCCATCCAGGTTCCCTAACCCCCTATTAACCGACCCTATCCGGGTTCCCTGACCACCTATTAACCGACCCTATCCAGTTCCCTGACCCCCTATTACCCGACCCTATCCGGGTTCCCTGACCCTCTATTACCCGACCCTATCTGGGTTCCCTGACCACCTATTACCCGACCCTACCCGGGTTCCCTGACCACCTATTAACCGACCCTACCCGGGTTCCCTGACCCCCTATTACCCAACCCTATCCAGGTTCCCTGACCATCTATAACCCGACCCTACCCGGGTTCCCTGACCACCTATTACCCGACCCTATCCGGGTTCCCTGACCACCTATTACCCGACCCTACCCGGGTTCCCTGACCACCTATTAACCGACCCTACCCGGGTTCCCTGACCCCCTATTACCCAACCCTATCCAGGTTCCCTGACCATCTATAACCCGACCCTACCCGGGTTCCCTGACCACCTATTAACCGACCCTATCCGGGTTCCCTGACCACCTATTACCCTACCCTATCCGGGTTCCCTGACCACCTATTACCCGACCCTATCCGGGTTCCCTAACCCCCTATTACCCGACCCTATCCGGGTTCCCTGACCCCCTATTACACGACCCTATCCGGGTTCCCTAACCCCCTATTACCCAACCCTATCCGGGTTCCCTGACCCCCTATTACCCAACCCTATCCGGGTTCCCTGACCACCTATTAACCGACCCTACCCGGGTTCCCTGACCCCCTATTACCCGACCCTATCCGGGTTCCCTGACCACCTATTACCCGACCCTACCCGGGTTCCCTGACCACCTATTAACTGACCCTACCCGGGTTCCCTGACCACCTATTAACCGACCCTATCCGGGTTCCCTAACCCCCTATTACCCGACCCTATCCGGGTTCCCTGACCACCTATTACCTGACCCTATCAGGGTTCCCTGACCACCTATTACCTGACCCCATCCAGGTTCCCTAACCCCCTATTACCCGACCCTACCCGGGTTCCCTGACCACCTATTACTCGACCCTACCCGGGTTCCCTGACCACCTATTACCCGACCCTACCCGGGTTCCCTTACCCCCTATTACCCGACCCTACTCGGGTTCCCTAACCCCCTATTACCCGACCCTACCCGGGTACTGGGACCCGGTGTAGGTCTTAAGAGTTGGGTACAAAATGTCCAATTGGAATCATTGTACTGGAGCCCTGGCATAAACAATTTAGACACATGCATAAAATAATCTGATCAAGTATACACTGAAGTTAACTGAAGCTTTATCTTTACTCGAACATATAAAAGTAAGAACGAATGCATGCATAGTCAGAAATAAATGCAAACATAAACGACCTGTAGTGTAACCATGGACGTTTATTGTTATTGTCATTCAACAACATATCACATAACTAACCACGGGTCCGGGTAGTCCTGTGGGTACCCGGGTCCTACTGAAGATCCACTGACCTGAATACCCGAGTTACCCATCCCAGCCCTAAAATACTGCCATACTGAAAGTGTCCTACATGGTATGAAACCAGTAATGATAGGAAATGAACAAAATAATGTCAATATGTCTACAAATACAAGAAATGATACGTCACAAGCTTTTCGGGAAGGACTATACTAATCAGCATGTATAATACAAACATGATAAAAAAATTGGTTTGTTGTTTAACACTGCACTCAGCAATATTCCAGCTATATGATGGTGGCCTGTAGTGTAAATAATCGAGCGGACCGACAATCCAGTGATTCATATCATAAACAACGATCCACCTGGTCGGTGTAGGAACTTAAGAAATAGGGCTGGGACGATACACAAACTGTGCAATCCGATATGTAACACGATACCTTTCTCACGATCCGATATGTATCACGATACCTTTCTCCCGATCCGATACATATCACGATACTTGCACATGCTCTTGTCGGTGATGGGTAAGCTACATTTTTCATAGACAGGATGTCCAAATACCTGGCACACTAACCATTTACTATTTGCATTGTCAAGTATGGCGGAATGGATGAAAATATTTACGTTTTCACTACTCATTTTCACTAGTAAATAGTGTTGGATGTAACATTTATTAAAGAATACATTTTAGGTTAGAATCAATACTTTTTACCTTGTGTGCAATTGTGATCATAACTTGTATAAAGAAGTGAAAAATCGCGATCCACCGATGCATCAGTGTATCGTCCCACTACTAGTACAGAGACACATAATAATCAACCAATGTTCGTCACCAAGGCTCGCCACACTGTTCATTAATTCACCTCTTATGACAAACGTGGAAATCCCACAGGGACAAAGACTATGTACACAAGTCAAATATTTGCTTGACTTGAGTGAGCCCATTAATTTCTGCAAGCATGCATATATATATAATCCTTATTTAAACATAACTGTGAGATCTACAGTGCTCAGTATAGTAATGATTAACATGATAAAAGGCTTTATTCATATCCATTATATACCCACATTCACATAATTGCTATTTTGAAATTTTGTATTTTCCAATTTTTAGTTTTTAATAGAAACATATTTTAGAGGTGAGGTGAAATTGGGTTTAATGTCACGTTCAAGATTATTGCCCTTATATAGCGGCGTGCATGTATGTATGTGTGTGTGTCTGCTTGTACTAGTCCGACTTATACCAACTTCAAAGTGCTAGCCCAGTGAGATACTATGTCGCAGTTTAACATGAATACCCCACTCAGACACAGTATACATGGTATACTGACTCCGAGCCGACTATAGTCCTTTAGCCCCATAATGCCAAGTGCCAGGCGGGGCAACAACAAGTACCAGCTTTTAATGTCTTTTGGTATGACAGGGCTCTCCAGGTGGACTCTCTAGCACTAGACCATGGAGGCGGTCAAATGATTTTTGAGAATTCAATAGGAGGTGATAGTATTCTACGTATAAAAAGATAAAAAATAAAAGATTTGGAATTGTAGACACCATTGATTACATAACCAAGGCAAATTCTGATTTATTAAATTCCTGAAATGATATTAATTGCTATCATATATTTTTTTAAATATCAAGTAATCAAGTAAATGACATTTCCTTTCCGTCAGTTGCTTACATATCCCCAATGGACTAAGTTGTGACTATATGTAGTGTTTGACACATGTTTAAGACAGATGGCACAACCTGACTCAGAAATGAATGTTACTGTTAGTGTGTGAAAAGAGATTTAACGTTGTGTTCCGGTTTATTTCATTATTAAAGTGATATACATGAGTGTGTGTGTGGCTGCTTGTACTAGTCCAGACTTCTGCTGTTTTTAGTGCTAGCCCACTGAGATACCAAGCCACAGTTTAACATGAATACCCTCCTCAGAAACAGCATACCGACTCCGAGCCGACTTGTCCTTGTTTTATCCCCTTAATGTCGAGCTTCAGGGTAACAACAAGTACCGTCTTTTAACGTCTTTTGGTATGACCCGGGACTCTCTGGGCAGACACTCCATCCACTAGAGTCCAGTTTATATGTGACCCATAGCTGTCTAATTGTTCATTTCCTCATCCCGCTTGTTCCCAGTAATACAGTAGGTCAGTAGGTCAAATGAGAATCACACATGTATCAATATCATACTGTACGTGTGACCATGGTAACTGTTCATGACACCAACACACAAAACTGTACTTTAAAATAACATATTTTTATCTCCATCCACCACAATCAAACACCTCGTTCTATTGTTCAGGTGTAGTCTTCTCAAACCTTCGAAAGCAAATAATAGCCCCCCCCCCCCCCCCCCCCCCCGAACTTTATTCTGACTGTCATCATTCAAGAAAAGAAATAATTAAAGATTTGAAAGAGTTGATAAATACCTTTGAGTTCTTCTTTCCTTGCATTGTGGGCCAGTTAGTGATCAATAAGTCACTATAATCATATAGTGTTCGTTTGATCAAATCACGGAATCGTTCACAAAGATAATGACCTTGTGATCTTCACGAGAACTGTCAATGAGAAGTTAAAATTAGTTAGATCTGATATTTCATAACAGGACGCCAACTATTTATACAACTTCAACATTCCAAATAATCGCATCTCTGTCATCGTCAACCAGCAAGTGTCACAATCCGTACCTCGCATCTTTTCAGTCATATCTCACATTTCAGACAGCTGACCATATGATCAACCACAACATTAATAGTTGCTATTTATAGAACGAAATGACAGGATAGCTTCATGCGTGACTTATGCGTAAAACAAACTAATTTTCTTACGTTTGTGTAAATTACACTCACGTTATAAATTGAAATTATGGACAAAATTCCATCATTTTCAGCAGATCCTCTTATGAAAGTCAAATGACGAAAAAGAACCCGTGATGTCACATATTATATGCACACGTGCACGTATTCACTGACAGTGACATATTTATATCCTAAACTCCGCACTAAAGGTTATCAAAACTTTCCTTTAACTCTCAAATAAATTATATATTTTCAGTCACAATATCTCATATTCTGATATTAAATATCGCAATATTAATTTTGTTCTGATTTATTCATTTGCGTTCATGTACATTTTTAAATTTTTTTTTATCACTTTCGCTGCGAGTCAGTGTCATGGCGCTGCCCTTGAAGAAGTCGTCGAGTGCGATAGAGGGATATTAAGTCTAACTGGTATGAACCTTTAAATAGAATCGGATTGGTTATTCCGAAACACCATTAACGTCGTGTAGAATCAGTTGAACATTAACTGAAAAGGTGACAATATATGTGTGTGTCAATGTGTGATATTTCTTAGGTAATAATATGCAAAGGGAGGTAACTTCTTGCACCGTGAATGTGAATTCCAAAACAAGTTTACATATCACAAGCAATGCTGTGTTCATTTATTTGAATGGTTCTCCATATTTTACAAACTTTGAGTTATTTAACAATATATGTGCATCTAAGTTCCAGATCTGTTTAATAGGCCGTGTTTACTGGTAAGTGATTGGGAAAAAATTATCTAGATCTATTTCTATGACCTCTTATCCTGGTTACTGATTTTCATCAGAGACCATATAATATTATATGGTCTTTGTTTTCATTAACAGACACCCGCTAAAAGGTGTGTCCCGCGTGAGCGACCGGAAATCACAAATGCGGCGATACGATGAATGCCGCGGTACCACGAGGTCAGAGTATACACGGAATATGTCAGAAATAACATGAAAAAATGACGATAACTGGTCGCTAGCTTCGACATGTACACTTTCAAGTTTATCCAGTCCAGAATAACATGTTGACATGTTTTAACTGTTCGAAAATAGGGTATGTTAAAATAGGAAGGCAGATGCCTCGCTGCACACGCGACCCGCCAGTCACGACCTTGGGTGGATTGTGGTCCCTCTCGGCAGTGGATGATTTTACATAGCGCTTTGATTACTTTCGCGGAGGTCGCGGGTGACAGCACAGCCACGATGATTGAATTAATTAGTATCAAGCACTTCACTGAGTACTGCTGACCCACCCATCTCACGTACAAGAGACGGCAGAGCGACTGCTTATAATAGAAGATTACACATTTTCAAACAATAAACCGCTACATACTACAAAGTAATGGGCAACAATGCAGTTTACCAGGTGCATCTTAGAAAACGCTAATTGGCTAAGGCTGCTGGCTGTGGCTCTCGCTTCACAGATCATACGTGCCACTTCGATCCTGAGGGTTAGTACATCTATGTACGTTTTTGGTAAGGTTTAGAGAAGGTTACCCCCAAATCTATCCTCTGCTATTGGATCCCCTTTGCGATCAAACACCCCTTCATGATCCTAGGGTTGGGAACCACTTGCCAATCACACCCCTTTATGTTGATCCTTAGGGTTAGTTGTAAAGTATTGTATTGTTTAGCTCTCTCTGTTAAACCACAGGATCATGTAACTAATAATAACAATAAAAAAATCTCGCCAAAAAAAATCATAGACGAGGCCAAAGGCTGTCTGTGATTTAGTTTTGTTACTATTATTAGTTACATGGTCCTGTGGTTAAACGTAATTTCATGAAAATCCTCATAATTTGTATCAAGTTTTTGATTTTCGCGTAGAAAATACCTATAGTGAAAATGACACATAAAGGTAAACAATCAGGTGCTGATCTCTTTGAAAATGAGCACTAATTATAAGTGATGGCAATTAACTCATTAGCCAAGCTTAGTTTCGAGCTGGCAATGTGAGTTCGATCCTCCACTTGACAGTGAATGAAATCCGTAAAAGTGAGACTAGTAAAGTGTACAACACAGCTACACCCAAGTTATGAACACCTACAATAACTTTCCTGTACAATCCCTTCACCATTTTCCTTCAGCCCTCAGAAGTACATTATGAACATTGAACAATGATACAGACATTTGATACCCCTTGTTCCCAATCAGTTTACATAACTGAAAATGCATGTTAATAGCTTTGAACCTGAATTCTGGAACAAATCCAGTTTTCCCATGGTATTTTTAGAATTCACAGAGAAAAGAAATAAGATCTAGCATGGAAAATTAAAAAATTAAAATAGAAATCCTTATCTTTTGAAATGACAGGTCAATTACTAATTTGTTACTCTCTGTTTTTGATGGAAGTTAACAATTCTAAGTTTGTGGGGAAGTTTTTTGTGCATGTGACTGTTTGTGAATTGAACCTGCTGTAGGGTCCCTTGATCATATGGGTACAAACTTCTACAGTGTGTGAAGCCCTTTCTTTGTGTGCCGCCATGGACAGAATATTGCCCAAAGCTGTGTGAAACCATCCTCACTCACTCCTCACTCACATTAGGAGGCTTGGCTGTCTCAGCAGTGTAAAGCAATAGTTCCTGCTCCAATAGTCAAGGTTTGAATCCCACATTTGCCCCCATCGTTACCCTTGGTCTGTCAGAACCATACTTGTACCCAGTTTTCACCCAAGTTCTAAATGACTCAATCATGCAATGCAATCTCATTAAAATCAGATCTTAGTCCTTGCTACCTCTAAACAAAGATCTGAGGACATCCCATTAGGGGTCACGGCAGAATGACTTTTATCCGACCAATCAGAGTGTTACTTACCAGATCATGAAAATGACAGTCGGAATGTGATTTCTAATCGTGCAACCTCGAAAACTTTAACATGGGGTATTCTGAACGATCTGTGCATGTGACTGTTTGTGAAGTAAACCTGGTGTAGGGTCACTTGATCATATGTTGATCCACAAACTTCTTCTTTCAGATTTGTGAACACCTGACGTTGGATGATGTCCTTGCCACTGATGACACGGGTGTTTTGTCGCTATGGCAGCACCAGTGTGCGACAGATGAAGAGAAAAGCTATGCTTGACCGCATCATCCGTGTTGACCATGCCGGGGAACTTGGGGCTGATCGGATATATGCCGGCCAGTTGGCAGTACTGGGGAAGACTGCTGTTGGGCCTGTCATCAAGGTTAAATATTGATCCAAGTTTATATGTATGTAACCCATATATGTGCCTTTTACATGTTTAATCACTCCAACCTGAAGCCCAAGTCTACTACAGTATTCTCTTGCTAATGCACACTTGAATATAGCACTAACTCGGTTAAAGTGCTCAGTAACATATGGCTCCCAAAAATCTGTAGATTTGTTCCGGACTAGAATATAAATATTGAGTTCACCATTTCATGAAAAGGTAAGTTATTTTTGGGCATGTATACATTATATACATGGTTATGTTAAATAAAACATTCCAAATAAAATCATAAATTACATGAATATATAAGATTTGTATTTGTAGAAAAAAATTTAAACTGTTGAAAGATTCTTGGGTTGTCGATAAATTGAATGAGAGTCTTTGTTAAAGTACATTGTGGTTGTAAACAGAGATAATAATAGCTGTGTAATAGTTAAATGTTTTTAGTGATGACCTATAAATTGTAGAACAATAATCTGGGATTAGTCTAGACCTTCTCAATGGCCGATGTTCGGCCCAAAACCTGCAGCAAATGACAATAAAAACTTTCATTATAATATAAGATTCACAATCCCTCAGAATGTTTCTCAATTAAAAAGTTTAAAAAAAATTAGTTTTGAACAGTATCAAGATTTGTTCCCTATTTGCCTGCCAACCCCATGGCCAAGGGCACTTAGTCTGGAGTCCAAGATGAAGCTCTTGATAATGTTTAGGCACAGGCTAATGTCAACATATTTTGTCTGCTCTTGTCTCTAGCACCACCTACATGAGCTAATGTCACATGGGTACAAACTTTTACAGTGTGTGAGGGGGCGGTCGGGTAGCCTAGTGGTTAAAGCGTTCGCTCGTCTCGCCAAAGACCCGGGTTCGATTCCCGACATGGGTACAATGTGTGAAGCCCATTTCTTGTGTCGCCCGCCGTGATATTGCTGGAATATTGCTAAAAGAGGCGTAAAACCAAACTCACTCACTCACTCACTCTACAGTGTGTGAAGCCCTGTCTTTGTGTACCGCCATGGACAGAATATTGCCCAAAGCTGTGTGAAACCATCCTCACTCACTCCTCACTCACATTAGGAGGCTTGGCTGTCTCAGCAGTGTAAAGCAATAGTTCCTGCTCCAATAGTCAAGGTTTGAATCCCACATTTGCCCCCATCGTTACCCTTGGTCTGTCAGAACCATACTTGTACCCACTGTTTTCACCCAAGTTCTAAATGACTATGGGATGCAATCTCATTTAAATCAGATCTTAGTCCTTGCTACCGCTAAACAAAGTTCTGAGGACATCCCATTAGGGGGTCACGTCAGAATGACCTTTCATCCGACCAATCAGAGTGTCACTTACCAGATCATGAAAATGACAGTCGGAATGTGATTTCTAATTGTGCAACCTCGAAAACTTTAACACGGGGTATTCCGAACGATAGTTACGGGCTTAACTACTGAATCCACACAGTCTAGACCATCTATTAGCCATTCCAGAATGTTCTTTTGTTCAGGTTTCATTTTTTAAATCGAGACAAAATGTTACAAAGTGAAGTCGCCAGTTAGTGCCATAAAGCACAAGAAAGCTGCCTTCTGAATGGGTAATCACGTAACGTCCTGTACTGGTAATGTCGACTTCTTGTCAGTCATTCCGTTGGTCAGTCAAAGTTGGTCTGACGTGACCCGTAATGGGGTGTTCCCAGATCTTTGTTTAGCGGCAGCGAGAACTAAGAACTGATTTTAATGAGATTGCTAAGGGATGCATTTCCCTTCTGAGAGCAAGGGTAATACATGAATTCTTACACGAGTTTTGAAATTCAGTATGACACACATGCAAGTGTGAGAATTTCTATATTACCATATATTTCTTAAACTTTGTGAGCTCCCCTTTAGAAAAATGCACTGATCACAACCGCCGTCTTAGAAAACCACAATTGTCAAATTCAGCTTTGATGTTGATGTCACAATGAGATTTGAATGACGTCAATAATGGTGTCAGGATGACATAAACAATACACTGTGCGGGTGAAGTGATAATTGCTTTGGTGTACATACAATTTTTATGAACTTGGTTATTTATAACCCTATGGGAAATAAACTTGAAGAGGAGGGATGAAGCTCCTTACCAGGTACTGTAAATCTTGAAATTGACACGAGCGTGTATGAAATGCGAAAAATGTAGTCTTTGCTCGCATTATTAAACATCGCATTTATGTCAACATTTATATCGCATTCATATTGTGTCGCGGTCGCAATCTTTTGGAGACGCATTAATTTCAAGATTTACAGTATGTCTCAGTATTTCAGTAATGGGTGTACTTTTTGGGGATGGGGCAGTTTTTGGTAGCAGTGACTACTAAGATGGATGGACATCAGTATGATCAGTGATCATGTTGACTGTTTCTTTCAGGAAATGTGGGAGCAAGAAAAAGAACACTTAGCGACCTTTGAAAAACTGATGAAGGAGCACCGTGGACGACCTACCGTTTTGTTGCCCATATGGAATGTGGCAGGGTTTGTGTTAGGTGAGTGTGTAGTTGTCGACACCAGGTGTTCTGCGTGTTCGGTCGTGCAGAGTCATACTTCTTGGGTGGGTAGGAACTAAGCGTATTTGACCACATGATTTGACATTTATGTCTGTGACGCAATCAACACATTTTTAGAATTCAAGCATCCAGGGAAAGCCCTGCCTTGAATAAGGATTAGGAGTATCTGATCATGGAGGGTAATTGTATCCTCCGTGGTATTTCAGAAGCTAACACTGATAGAAATGTTAAAATGACAAATTAGTCTTATAAATATCTTGATTCTGAATCCATTATATTTTGTTTTCAGCAAACCCTGTGGTATATTTGAGTTTTTCCTGCAAATGGTGTGTGTGATATTGAAGTGAAAGTTATACACATTGACATAATGGAAGGCAACTTTTTCACTTGAGTCTGTAAGTTTCTGTAATGAAGTCATCAGATCAGCTATTTGAATCAGTTTGGTTATTGTGATTTTGAGACCTCTTACTGACCAATCAGAATCAAGCATTTTCCAAATTCATTGTAGAATTGGAAATAACTAAGAGATCACATACGACAGGAAGCGTTTGTTTCAAGACACCCCCTACACCCCCTCCAAAGAATGATTGGTTGACAGTCTAAGCCTTAGACTAGACTCTAAGGACTCATGTGATGCTAACATTACAGTTTGTCTCTAACATTGTTATTTCATTATATCAATATCTTTATGTGTTGCCTGGGTATTTCAATCAGTATTTTGAAATACATGACCTTTGTACAGACTTTTTATTATTTTCTAGCCAGAGGTCTAAAACAAATAGTATTCAGTCCCAGTATGTACATACTTTTCCCTTCAGTGTGGGGAATGTGTCAAGCGCCTCACCAGGAAAGCCCTTATGCAGAGCTCTCTATAAAATGGCTGCCCCCAGTCAAAGCTCCCACTGTGATAGGTGGCCACAACTGTGCTTGAGTTGAACTCTCAACCGACGGACCTTTTATAATATGTTCACAAATAAGTGATGACTGCAGTGATGCCAAATACTCTTACCCCCGCTAAATTATTTTCTTTGTTTGTCAATGTGAATTTCTGTTTCATTACAACTATCATGTAATTGGTATAGTAAGAATGTAAGGGGGATGTTGGCTGATTTTACCTTCGTCTGCAATCTCGAACCAGTCTGATCAAACAAACAAAAAGGTAAATTCATCTTGGATATATGGTCAGTCGTAAGTAAACCTTTTCAAAATTCACTGATATCATTCCCAAAGACATAACAAAAGTATAAACGTCTACATTTGGGATTAGAGGGCAAATTTCAAGATTCTTGTATGGTCGCGCCCACACTGGTGGCAGTGATGTTACGGGGAGTGTAACAAATGTGTCACAAGCTGGGGAGGAGCTTGGGCATGTGTGAAGCAAGGGAGACTACTCTACCTCTAGACAAGCGAGAATTGAGATCTGATTTCAGGGAGATTGAGACGGGTGTCTGCCATCTTGTTGTGATGTGATCTAGTGTTAGAAACTACTCTTAGATGGAATGAAGACCTTTGAATAGACACCCATTCAAATGACATTGTTATAAATCATTCATGACACTCACAGTCAAAGTAAATTGTTGATGTCTGCAGGGGCTAGTACTGCCTTGCTTGGCAAAGAAGGGGCTATGGCTTGCACGGTCGCAGTAGAAGATGTAATTGGTGATCACTATAATAGGTGAGTGGTCTCCTGTTCTAGTCTATACTCTGTGTTGGTTGACACAGGACAAGGAATATGGTATAAAGTCATCTCACGACCCAAAATATTTCATAACAGTCATTGGTAATCACTGTAACAAGTGAGTTGTCTCATTGTCTGTCATATGTCATAAAATTATCTCCTGAAGAATATTCTTTTTATGAAGTGAAACTTTTCATAAACACAAGTAGTTCATAATTGGACCGGGGTAGAATAGATCTTCAGCAACCCATGCTTGCTGCAAAAGGCGACTCGCTGACTTGGTTGCTGCATGTCATCTTATCCCAATTTTGTAGGTCAATGCTCATGATGTCAATCACTGGATTGTCTGATCCAGACTCGATTAATTTACAGACCGCCATCATATAGCTGAAATATTTCTGGCATTAAACAACATTTACGTAAGTAATTTTTTAGTCAGTAGTTGTTCACAAGTTATCAGTCACACTGGGTATTAATAAGTTTCTCTGGGTATTCAGTATATTTTTACTCCCTTGGCTCAAGTCTTTGGGGTATTTTCTAAACCAATAATAACAATTTTTTAAGTAATTTTGTTTAAAATGTTATTGTAAGTGACAATTTATGCAAGATTCTCCATAGTAGAGAATGGATATATGTATGTAATGCCTGCATTTGATCAGTGGAAAAACAGCTGTAAATAAATACAGGCACGCAAGCTGAAAAGGCTGCATTAGGTAATTATGACAGTGTTATTTTACTTGTGGGATTTTAGGAAAAATAATTTGGGTTCTAGTGATTTATGTCTATTTTACGCAGACATGCAGCATACCTAGAACTCTGTTAATGAGTATTTGATCCTGCTCATTCCAATTTAAGTCATCGAGGCTTGTACAGTGCCCGTTTTATAGTGCTGACGCACTGACATACAATGCCGCAGTTTGACATGACTACCCCACACAGACACATTACTGTAAATCTGGAAATTAATGCGTCTCCAAATTGATATGACTGCTGACACCCCATCCCCAGTGGAATGATGCATATCCTTATCTTAATCCCATCAAACAGCAAATAGCTCCACTTATTAGCACTGAGAAGAACACTTCCGTAAAAACAATGAAAAGTGTTTTCCTTTAAACAACCCTCAGTTTATATTTTACTCTGTTGACTGGCATTAAGGAAGCTCAAAGGCAATAAAATGATTGAACCAACAACAGTTCACTGATTGGTATGCGGAGAAGGCGTCAACAAGCTTGACACATGTGGGTAGAACTCTTGACCCCAGCAGTGATAAGTCACCCGATGCCCATTGTGTAATTGATATTCATTGAATGACATTGATATATAGAGAATCTCACCAGAGTGTCTTTTGATATCAAATATATCAACACGAGATGATAAAAGTGGAAAAATTCCGAAGCTTAACGAGGATTTTTGCCACTTTTATCAACGAGTGTTGATATATTTGATATCAAAAGACATGAGGGTGAGATTTTATTTATCATCCAACATCAATTTTCAATTTGTAGACAGTAATTAGCAGTATTGATATCAAAAGACATGAGGGTGAGATTTTATTTATCATCCAACATCAATTTTTCAATTTGTAGACAGTAATTAGCAGTGTCTTCAGTGTAAAAAGTAAAAACAGATTCAGTAGCAGAGCCATTCGTGATGTCATTTGATTGTGACGTCATGGTAACCAGTGACGTCACAATGGTCTGCAAAGCATTGTGATGTAATTTCATTGCAGCGATATCTACAGTGTAGATATCGCTTGATCTCATCCAAGCATATCTCCTGTGGGAGCCAGTTTTGGATGATAAATACTTGTTACAACTGCTGTTCAATAAACCGTGTTTGTGTTATTATTCAAGTTGGTATTTCTGCTATTCAAGTGTGCAATGAGGCCGTCTTATTGTTGATAGTCATTTTGGAGACATAAATGCGAAGTTAATTATTGCGAGCAAAGACCACATTTTTTGCATTTAATTCACGCTCACGTTAATTTCAAGATTTACAGTATATGGACTCCGAGCTGACCAGTCATTGTCTTAGTTCCTTAGTGCCGAGTGCCAGACAGGGTAACAACAAGTACCATCTTTTTACATCTTTTGTTTATGATGCAGCCAGGGGAACAAACCACCGACATGAAGCAAACACTTTATCCACTTGACTATGTATATGGTTTACTTTTTGTGTAACATATGGCTCCGTGATATCTAATTGTTCATTTTCTCATCATGCTTATTGTCAGTAAGGCAGTAGATTAAGAGATTAAATTAAAATCCACCACATATCATATCACGCATTCCACCAAGTCACTGAGCGTGACCACTCCATCCATTTACTCATCTCGTATTAAGAAAATACTCTCCAGGGAACTGAGATTCAAACCTAGAATCCCCATGGAGGCCTTAGCACCCAAGGACACGTCATCGTTTCAAACACTGTTTGGTATGACAGGGCTCGAAAACATGCTCATTTGAAACCTATACTCATCGCCCAAAAAACACGAACCATAGAAACGTATAGAGAACTAGTTACGTTAACAAAAGATGTTTTAATGACAAAACAAACACTCGGTCAAGTGTTACCACAGAGTGTCTTCATTCTAACCACAATATGCTGCTTGTGATTTCCAAACACGCTAATCCTGCACAAGACAAATGTGATGCGTTCATGAACGTCTGTCCACGAAACATAACAGCATGTTCGTTTGTGAATCCAACCGATTATAATATCTCTTAAATATGAGTAAATCTTCATATATATAACAAACATGTAAGGTATTCACGTTTCTTTTGGCAGTGAGTATATTATTGAAAAATACTATCTAATATCTATGTCTACCTGCGTGTCAAAACAGTTCAGATGTCTGACTAACCCTCACTTGTCCACACAAAATCTATCTGAACATACTCAATACCTCTGAAGTGTATATACCATACTACATCGCTAATCCCTGTGTTATGTGTAATTTGTCAAGCTTTCTTAGGCTTGACATCATCAAACTGTGGGTACTTCAAGATTATGTGCACATGTTCCTATTATGTTTTGCAGGAATTAATTTATGTGACACTGGCAGCAGACCAGCCTATGTTTCAGCTTTATATAATTTATAAATTTATGGGACCAGGTAGACTAACATCTGGACCCCGATATGAACTTATTTTACAGAAAAAACAGTTGTTAAATTATAGTTATAAGATATAATAAAAGGGAGCCCAGAGACTTTCTTCATTTTCAGATACTGCAGTAATCTAGACTTGCCAAACATAACAGACTTGCCTGGGCTGTATTGGATATATTTGTTTCAGGGTCTGTAAGACAGACTAGGGACCAGTGTGTAACCTGTCTTTATCTGGTGCTACTTGGTTTTCATGTGAACATGCAACTGGTGCAAGTTAATTCGAGTTCTTTAAATCAAGGCCCTGGTATAAATAAATGGTTCGTTAAGTAACTTAGTCCATATAAAGCAACTGATGCAGTAAAAGCTTCTCTACAAAGAGTATAACAGTATTGTATATTTCAGTCAAATCCGAGAACTGATGAGTGATGATCCTGAAGCTAACAAAGAGTTACTGCAGGTAGGTGCTATCACATCTTCCCAAGGCAAGGGAGTTAACTGACTCTAAAACACCAGTTTCCGCCCTTGCCGAACATGGCTGGAATTTCTGAGTATATTTTGTCTTTACGAACAAGTCTGCGCAAAGTTTACTCAAAATCCCGTAACAAAATTGACATCAGTTTTGTAAACAAAAGTGCGACTGCCATGTAGACTTGGTCGATTGCAAGATTTGCAAATGATATATACCATCAACTGGGCATCGACAGATATTTTCCAAAAATGATTGCAATTAATTACAAAATTAATTAAAAGTCAATTCTTCTTGTTCTATAAAAAAAATGATAAAATCATGAAAAAGTCTGGATGCCTTTCCTCTCCAGGAAAGTCACAGACTCATTGAGGTTCCATGTTGTTGTGATTGTGGGTGGGCAGACAACTCTGTCAGGGGAGGACTTCATTGGTTAACACAGTATTCTCCCCTTATCACTGATGTATTTCAGTCATACTCAGAGTGACTGTTCCTCTTCTCCAGACAATAACCAAGTTTCGAGATGAAGAGCTCCACCACCATGACACAGGCTTAGAACACGATGCTGAGAAGGTGAGAGTGACACAGTATCAGAGAAGTCATGTAGAGATGGATCTCTTGACTTGGAAAGGAATAATCATGTTGAAGAAAGATAAATGAAGATGCGGTTATGTGGGGAGATAGATTTTGTTTTCTCTGAAATTTGAGCTCGGCACATACCGGTGCAATTGGTTTTCTCAACCATTCTCTGATGTACCTTTTGTGACATCATTGATAAGTGATTCAGTATAAGCTAGGCCTTAAAGTAAAGGTTTGTGTACAGGATAACTTCAGTATTTATTATTGAAAGTTGGTGAAATTTGGTATACATGATTTCTAGGATGGGGACTCAATAAATTTAACTTATGGATGACTGACACTCTGTATAAGTTCAAGTCACTTTAGTGAGTTAGTTTTACGCCGCTTTTAGCAATATTTCAGCAATATCATGGCGGAGGACACAGAAATGAGCTTCACACCCTGTACCCATGTCGGGAATTGAACCCGGGTCTTCGGCTTAACGAGCGAACGCTTTAACCACTGGGCTACCCAACCGCCCCTCTGGTCGCTTGAAGATAAATTATAGAACATAGCCGAAATTTATTAAATGCATGGGCATTGAAATCATTTCCCAATCAGCTATGATGGATTTCAATAAATAACTTGATGCCTGTCATATGTCCCAGTTGTGTCAAATGCCAATATGGACCAACATGCTGTGATATTTACGTTTTAAAGCAGCATTAGGCCAACTCAAAGACTCAAATCTCTGGCAAATAAACTGAAATTTAATGGATGTCAGTCACCATTTAGTGAATCAATACGAAGTGTTTGAACTTTTTCAAAGTTATGTTTTGAAACTTTAGTCGGAATTTTTTGTATTACAAGTGTCACAAGAATCTTTTTTGAAATGATGAGACTAACTGTACTGACAAGTACATTTATATTCACCACCATTACCATGATTACTGAATTTTTATAATCAGGAAAATAATAAATTATATAATAATAATACTATACTATATATACTGATGGAAATGAATAAGGGTGCACTAAGTTTTAGACACAGTAAAATGATCTGCCATCATGGGTTCCAGCCTTGTCTACCAAATACAACTGAAAACAGTCCGTACAGACACATGTCAACATTTGACTCTGAAATGTGTTGAATTTGTATGCACGCTATTCAAATGTTATGAGCTTATTTCCCTCTATTTTTCATTGTTCCCTTATTAGTTTCCATCAGTATAGTATGTGTGGTTGGTTGGTTTGTTTAAAACCGCACTCAGCAATATTCCAGCTATATGACGGCGGTCTGGAAATAATCAAGTCTGGACCAGACAATCCAGTGATTAATATCATGAGCATCGATCCACGCAATTGGGATACGATGACATACATCAACCAAGTCAGCGAGCCTGACCAGCCTGACCACTCGATCCGTAGGTCGCCTTTTACGAAAAACATAGTCGCCTTTTACGGCAAGTATGGGTTGCTGAAGACCTATTCTACCCCGGAATCTTCACGGGTCAGTATGTGTGAAGATTCATTACTTTGACCTTTGATGATTCTGTTTTTTTCAGGCACCATTTTACACAGCCTTGACACAAGTGATAAAGTTTGGTTGTCGAGGCGCCATCTGGGTATCGGAGAGGATATGAACCTGCGTCCAACCTGTGCCAATTAAACTCTATCCATCCTGTGTATGGGTCATGTGACATGAGAGTACATGACCATGACGCGCTGCACACCACCCCGACATTGTGGTGTGATTGTCAGACATTGCTCGCGTCACCTACTAATGACCAGTGTCTCACTGGAGACACCTTTGAATATGTGTATGCCTACGAAAGAGCATGTATAGCAGAATCCTCCTTGTAGGTTGGAGACAATAAATGCAGCCCTTACATTTGTTATGTGTTGATTCCCAAATTGAAACGTGGAGGTAAACCTAGAAATTGGTTCATTCGGAACTAAATTGTGAAATCAGTAAATAACCACACAAGATCAATGAACAATCAACAAATTATATTGAGATACACAGGATTAGGTCATCGTCCCAAGGCAAGGGAGTCAACTGACTGTAAAAGTCCAGTTTCCACCCTATTCCACCTCTCATATCACTTGCTTTTGCTTCGAACAACACAGCAGGCGGCCATTGAAGATGATAAGATTGATGATCAAGATCATCATCATCATCATTTATTGTATTCTGGCCATAGGCCCATATACATACAGTAACATTATATATATACAATTTTGTACATGTAGAAGTATAAACATGCAGACTTATATGCACAGAGATGTGCACGTGTACAATTTTGTGAAAAATAAGTCGCAACACAACACAAGAAGAGATAAAAGCATTTGATTAATGAAGGCAAATAACCTAAAGAATAATTAAACATCATTTGTACAAAGACGGTTGCGAAGTCGTAAACCATAATTAATGTATAGGATAGTATTCTTTTGTTGCTCGTTAGATATTTCATCAAAACGGAGGAGCTTGATTAGTGTATTGATGTTTTGGGGTAAACCTTGGAAATATTTTGTTCTAAGCGATTCATAACATGGACAGATAAGCATAAAATGGTATTCGTTTTCAATAAATGTGGGGCAAAAAGGACAAAAACGCATATTTTTTTAAACTGAGGAAAAACGACCCGTATTACATACTAAATTGTTCAAACCTAATCTAAAACGTGTAAAACACACTCTTAGTTTTCTGTCTGTTATTTCTGTTAAGTACTGTTCTGGAGATAATGTTGTAATCAAATGGGTCTTAATTTTTTCGGAAAGTGCTTCAAATCATGTAAACACCTTGGTTAGAAACATTAAAAGATTTGGAAAATATCTGTTGATGCCGAGTTGGCGGTACGCATGTTTTTCAAATCCTGGCCAAAATCTGCAGGTCAATTCACGAACCGGATATCAATTTCGTTAAGTTATTTTGAAGCGGTTTAGTCCAGCCAAAACATAACTCCATATTTCCACCCTAGTTCGGCAAGGGTGGAAACTGGACTTTTATAGTCAGTTAACTCCCTTGCCTCAGGAAGATGGGTTAGGTTACCAATCATGACTGGTAATACAATGTTGACAGCAGCAGTAAATAACAGACACTGCTGTTTTGATCAGTGTACCCATGACTGCCAGTTGAATGTCTGGATGTCTCAGTTGAATGTCTGGAGTGAGGCACCAGCTCTGTTCTTGATTCGTAGAAGGGAGCTTCGAACCCCCCTTCGTCTGGCTGTTATATAAGGACAGCAAGGCCGTACTTAACTTTTTTTTGACAGTTTTATTTGAATAAAGTTGGGGACAAGTGATACTTGTACAAATAGTTGCCCCCCTGTAAAAAAAAGTTAACTATGGCCATGTAAGCACAAAAGGTTTGAGCTCAAACTTTCTAACTGGCGCACATAAGACAAGTAAACCTGTTGTACTTTACATTGTTGCTAGATTTTCTCCATGAGTTGAACTTATGTTTCAGCTGGTCTGAAGACGACATTGCAAGATATCAGATATCCCTGCACTGTCTCAGACTCGTGGTTGGCGCGACAGTATTTGGTAACTGGCGTTATCCATGACAATGACACTGACGTTGTTCAGACTGGGCCGTAGTCAGTGTTCCAACCAATCTATGAACACATCACCATTCGTCCCCTTATGCCCCCTTTCACTACGACCACGAATGTCCCGACTCACCCCGAATCGGAAACTTTCGAAATTCGTGATGATTCGGCAATAATGCAAACTTTCGTGGAGAATCGGCAGGAGGTACGAAGCAGTTACGACAAACGTACGACGGAGTTACGAAAACTCGTGACTAATCGGGTTGAAATATATGAAGAATGCCAGGAATGGGTTGAGAAACATGTACGAATTACAAGATACATGTACGGATCATGCACGAATTGTAAGAATCACCTACGACTAAGTGACGAATATGCCGAATGCATGTACGAATGCAGGACGATCGCAACGAATAAGATACGACTAATACGACATATTTACGAACAGTTTGCGGAAATCGGTACTTTTCCTGACACTTCGGCATGATCTTGGGTCCCGAAAGGCTGACCAACCCATCATTTCCACCATGGAGGTTCAACGGAGAGTACGTGTTGCTCTGGTCCTGGTCCTTGTCCTTGTGGAATCGTGTTGTTCTTACCTAATTCTTACATAATTCGTAGTTGACTCGCGACATTCGTTGCTGTTTCGGGATGTTTTCGGGCTGAGGACAAGAAATTTTGGGAGCCACGAATCGCTAAGACTAGCCAAGAATGCAAAAGAATCGATTACGAAGCTGTTACGGAAGATAAGAATTAATTACGAATGGATTACGATACAGCCACGAAATTGCAATTCGGGGACTCTTCCACGAAAGATTTTGAGAAACAAAAACTTTCTCGCCGATTCGACGAACTTCCGCGAACTGTACGAATGTTTGGGAATCAAATAAGATTCATTTAAGAACTTCAAGAAATAATTGAGGTTTATCTACGATCATGAAAATATTTATCTTCGGGATACTCGTGGTCGTAGTGAAATGGGGACATTATGATAATCACCAGTGTATAGAAATCACATCTCGTGGAGACCAATAATTAATGTAATCCAGTAAGATTAATTGTGTCTTTAATTTCCTCCCGAATTCTAATGCAAGTCCGGGGTTAGTCCTGCACCATGACCGTGAAATATATTTATTTTATGAAAAATAAATAAATCTAGAAATGCATACAAAAGCAAGTCTAGCCAGCTCAAGCTAGCTCTGAAATCAGCATAGGGAATTTTTTATTATTTTTAGAGTCAAGAAGGATATTGTGTAATTTAAGATTTCAGAGACTAAATGTTAGTCTAGTCCGGGGTTACCCTCCTCTCATAAAGTGTGTGGGGCGGTCGGGTAGCCTTGTGGTTACAGCGTTTGCTCGCCACGCCGAAGGCCCGGGTTCGATTCCCGACATGGGTACAATGTGAAGCCCATTTCTGGTGTCCCCCGCCGTGATATTGCTGGAATATTGCTAAAAGCGGCGTTAAACCATACTCACTCACTCACTCATAAAGTGTGTACACTGTACGCCTCATTACCCCTTTATGGAAGCGGTCTGATATCCTTTTGCGTCCCGGTTTTGTTTTTGAGACGACCCCTACCTTCTTTGTTTTATCTATCATACCATAGACTTTTGTATGAAAGCCCCAGAGCTTGGTCAGTTCGGTAATACACCTTATATGAATTAATAGATCGCTCCCCTCTATCTCTCTCAAGTGTAAAGAACTTGTGTATATTTCCTACCACAGACTCTATGTCGTGTATACCATGGCTATGGCTATGTGGTGTTATTCAACAGGCATCATGGGAGCAGTGTTGACAAAACCACTGCAGCGTCATTTTGTTATTTTCTAAGATGCAAATGTAGATTTTTCTCCAATTGACTTTTTGAGTCGCATGCGTATATTTCTAAAGTCCGTTTCAGACTTCCCTCATTGGACTACAGATCTTGATTACCGATCAGAGTGTCTTCACTGGGCACCGTCATTTAGTGGGAAGGAAATGCAAGTGATAAGAGAGGTGGACTCATAGGAGAGACATAGAAGGGACATAACTCGTAATAACCACTGGTGGCGCTACGATCGAGCCCAGAATTCCAGCCTAGTTCGGCAAGGATGGAAACTGGACTTTTACAGTCATTTAACTCCCTTACCTCGGGAAGATGACTGTATATATACTCTCCTAAATGTAGGGGATAATGAAATATAAATGTTACGCTCTCTCGTCAGAAGAGAGATCTGCTTTCAAAAATGACTACAGGACACCCCAGCATTCTCAAATGTTCAAGGAGTCTCAGTCTGTGATTTGCAGACTTGGAGGTTTCTGCAGACATAAATTATGAATAATTGGCCCCCCACCCAGGGCGCCCTAAGTCTCCGACCAATTGATCAGAAACCAGACCATAAGAAATCGAGCCCAAACGGCCAATCAAATCGCTGTTCATTTGCGCTCGGCCACCGGAGTTCAAGGTCCTAATCAGACAATTAGAAATCGTCTGCATGCAGCTTAACTCATTATCGGCGACCAGGAGTTGTACCACCGTCAACAAATCGACACATCTCGACAAATCTAGCCAGACGCCAATGATGTTCAGGGTGAAGATACTTGGTGAATCGACGATTGTTTCGTATAATGTCTCAGCCTTCAGACACAGCCATGCCTATCCAGAAAGTCCAGAGTGAATCGAAACTCATCTGAGACATTAGTTTCCACCCTTGCCGAACTAGGGTGAAATTCCTCGGCTCGATCGTAGCGCCACCAGTGGCTATTACGAGTTATGTCCCTTCCATGCTTCTCCTATGGACCAATCAGATTCCACCCCTCGTCTCACTTGCATTTGCTTCAAACAAAATGACGGCACCCAGTCAAGACGATCTGATCGATAACCAAGATCTGTTTTGTGATAAAACGGATCTTACATCGCGAATTGTATCAAATCACGTGAGCACCTTGATTAAAAACATGAAAACATTTGGCAAATATCTGTTGACACCGAGTTTGCAAATCCTGCAGTCGACCGAAATCTGCATGACAGTTTACGAACCGGATTTCGATTTCATTGCGCGATTTAGATTGGACAATGCATACACTCGTTAGTCCAGCCAAAGTCTAACTCCATGATACCAGCCTTGTTCGGCAAGGGTGGAAACTGGACTTTTAAATTCAGTTATCTCTCTTGCCTCGGGAAGATGTCTATAGAGTGGTTTATTACATCTTGAAAGGTATCGATGCTAAGATGACAGTAGTAGCATTTGAAATATGGCTGTAATAGTTACACATTACTCTCAAATGAGAAGAAATCGTATTTTGTAAACTATTCGTGAACATACAGTTCAATACGTTTTTACGGGTATACCTCTTTC